TTGCATTGTTGTCAGGCTCTGCCCTGCCCCCGCCCCGCCCCGCCCCGCCCCCCGGCCATGTTGTCCGGCCTTACCGATGTTAAAATCTGGTCACCCTAGATTTAGGTAAAACCCCGGGTACCACAAAATAGCTCGTGCTCGCAGACATTCCTGGCTCCTCCCGCGATCAAGCTGAGGGGCGGGGAGCTGGGTGTTAAAGAGGGCATGAGACCAATCCGCGCGCGTCCCCGGGAAGCAGCGCTCCTCGTTGGCTGATTAAGTCTCAGGGAGTAGCCACGTTCCAATCCGCATGCTAAGGGCGGGAGTAAGCGCCAGTGACGCGCAGCAGAAGGAGTAGACCCTGTGGAAGCACGTGACCGGGCCTGGAGCCGGAAGCTACCTCTGCGGTAGGGAGCTCCCGGAGCACCTAAGGCTGAGATGGTGAGTAAGGACGCATGCGCGGGAATAAGTGCCCGGGGTTCCACGTCCCTGTTCCTCAATGTCTCTGGGTGCCCCCTTCCTCGGCCTGCATTCCACTCTCCCCACCAGTCACCCTGGGACGATTAGAGAATGGAAATGGGAGGGGTGGGGACGTAGAGGGCTGAGGAGAACCTGTGAGAGGGTATTCTGGACTGAGAGTCTGCGGGGCAGGGTTGAAGCTCTAAGGGAATTGTAGAGAGGGGCTGCAAAGGCCTCCCGGGGTAAGAGAAGTGGGCTGTGGAAGACTAGGGGAGCCCGGGGGCCGACAATGAGGGTGGGTGGACCCTCAGGTAGATCCATGTTGAAGTCCACCGTAGAGGGAATAGGAAGGGCCCTCGCTTGGGAAAGAGAGAGCCTGGGAGCCAACCTCAAGAGAGACGGTTTGCAGGTGAAAGGTATCAAAGGCTATCCTAAGCATGCTTCTCACTGCTTGCATCTTTACCCACTAGACTTCTACACTGACCCAGGGGCTGGAGCGAATCCCAGACCAGCTCGGGTACCTGGTGCTGAGCGAAGGTGCAGTGCTGGCGGTGCGTTCTGGGAAGGGGTCTGGGGTCCCCTTCCAATATTGTCCCTTCTATTTTCAGCCTTTATCAGGTATCTTAACCTAGCATATAGTAAGCTTTTAATAACCGATCTCTGGAGTCTTAGTTTTCTGTTCTGAGGTAAAGGAAGTTCACTCACTTTACCAAAGTCTTGCAGCTAGTTTCAGGTTCGTTGATAATTAAGTTTCTCTCAGTTATGTATTTATTCGCTATATCTTAAAGAAACTTTTATATTTTGTTCCATAGTGCTGTATAGCTTTTTGATGTAGCTAGAGACGAGGCTTAAGGTTAAAGTTTGAAAACAATGCAAGTGCAAGGAGTTCTTCCTGTTATGGCAAGGACACTTTCTTGGAGGTAGGAATTTAGCTGAGCTTAAATAAAGGAGAGTATTCAGGGCTGGGAGGTGAATGTTCAGGCATTTGACGTCAACCTGTCTAAATCGGTGGTGGGTTTATGGTGAAAAAATTTGGGAGAAAAAGAGGATTTAGTTAAGCAAAGGCTGTAATATAGAGGATTTTGAAATTAACACATTTGGATTTAATCTTGAGGGTAATAGGAGCTTTGAAAGTTTTCTTAATGGAAACATGACCCAATGAAATGGTTGAGCAGAATTGTTCTGGTAGTGTGAAGGTGGGTTGGAAAGGGTACTAAGCTAGTCATGAGATTGGTCTGAGTAGGTGTACAAAGAAATTTTAAAGGAGGAATCAGTATAGCTTGGTAATGACTAGGTATAGGTAATACTTCTCCATCCGTAAGATTTTGAACTT